AGTTGTGCACAAAGAGGGGCTCGTACCATTCCTTCTGAAACAATTCCAAATAATTGAAAAGAAGGGTCTACTCCCTAACTCATTTGATGAAGTCAGCATCATCCTGATACCAAAACTTGGAAGAAACATAACAAAAACAGAAAACTTCAGGATTATATTCCTGATGAACATCGATGGAAAAATCTTCAAAAATACACTGGTCTGGGTGGCTCATGCCTGTAATCCCAACACTTTGGGAGGCCAAGGTGGGCAGATCACGAGATCTAGAGATCAAGACCACCCTGCTCAACATGGTGAAACCCCACCTAGATGAAAAATACAAAAAGTTACCTGGGTGTGGTGGCTCATGCCTATAGTTCCAGCTACTCAGGAGGCTGAGGAAAGAGAATCGCTTGAACCTGGGAGATGGAGGTTGCAGTGAGCTGAGATCATACCACTGCACTTCAGCCTGGTGACAGAGTAAGACTCTGTCAAAAACAAAACAAAACAAAAAAAATCCTCAATAATATACTAACAAACCAAATCCAGCAGCACATCACAAAACTTAGCCTCCACAATCAAGTCGGCTTCACTCCTAGGATGCAAGGCTGGTTCAACACATGCAAATCAATAAACATGACCCATCACATAAACAGAACCAAAAAGAAAATCTACATGATTGTCTCAGTAGATGCAGAAAAAGCCTTTGATAAAATTCAACATCCCTTCATGTTAAAAACTCTCAGTCTGGGCATGGTGGTTCATGCCTATAATCCCTGTACTTTGTGAGGACAAGGCAGGCAGATTACCTGAGGTCAGGAGTTTAAGACCAGCCTGGCCAACAAGGGAAAACCCTGTCTCTACTAAAAATACAAAAATTAGCTGGATGTTGTGGCAATCCCACCTACTCAGGAGACCGAGGCAAAAGAATCATTTGAACCTGGGAAATGGAGGTTGTAGTGAGTTGAGATGACACCATTGCACTCCAACCTGGGCAATAAGAGTGAGACTCTTTCTGAAAAAAAAGAAAAAAACTGGCCAGGCGCGGTGGCTCAAGCCTGTAATCTCAGCACTTTGGGTGGCCGAGGTGAGTGGATCACGAGGTCAACAAATCGAGACCATCCTGGTCAACATGGTGAAACCCCGTCTCTACTAAAAATACAAAAAATTAGCTGGGCATGGTGGTGCATGCCTGTAATCCCAGCTACTCGGGAGGCTGAGGCAGGAGAATTGCCTGAACCCAGGAGGCGGAGGTTGCGGTGAGCCGAGATTGCGCCATTGCACTCCTGCCTGGAGAACAAGAGTGAAACTCCGTCTCAAAAAAAAAAAAAAAAAAAAAAAAAACAAAGGAAAATAACTTCCAACAAACTAGATATTGGTGGAACATATCCCGAAATAATAAGAGCTATTTATGATGAATCCACAGCCAATATCAGATTATATGGACAAAACTGAAAGCATTCCCTTTGAAAACTGGTATAAGACAAGCGTGCCCTCTCTCGCCACTCCTATTCAACATAGTGTTGGAAATTCTGGCCAGGGAAATCAGGGAAGAAAAGAAATAAAGGGTATTCAGAGAGGAAGTAAAATTGTCTCTGTTTGCAGATGACATAATTTCTTATTTGGAAAACCCCATCATCTCAGCTCCAAAACTCCTTAAACTGAGAAGTAAATTCAGCAAAGTTTCAGGATACAAAATCAATGTGCAAAAATCACAAGCATTTCTTAACACCAACAATAGACAAGCAGAGAGCTAAATCATGAATGAACTCCCATTCATGGGAGCTACAAAGTGAATAAAATACCTAGGAATACAGCTAACAAGGGATGTGAAATACCTCTTCAAGGAGAACTACAAACCCCTGCTCAAGGAAATGAGAGAGGACACAAGCAAATGGAAAACCATTCCACCCTCATGGATAGGAAGAATCAGTATCATGAAAATGGCCATACTGCCCAATAATGCTATTCCCATGAAACTACCACTGATATTCACAGAATTAGGAAAAAAACTACTTTAAATTTCATATGGAATCAAAGACGACTCTGTATAGCCAAGACAATCCTAAGCAAAAAGAACAAAGCTGGAGGCATCATACTGACTTCAAACTATACTACACTGCTACAGTAACCAAAACAGCATGGTACTGGTACCAAAACAGGTATATAGATCAATGGAACAGAACAGAGACCTCAGAAATGAAATCACACATATACATCTAATCTTTGACAGACCTGACAAAAACAAGCAATGAGGAAAGGATTTCTTATTCAATGCTGGGAAAACTGGCTAGCCATATGGAGAAAACTGAAACTTGACCCCTTCCTTACACCTTATACAAAACTTAACTCGAGGTGGATTAAAGACTCAAATGTAAAACCCCAAACCATAAAAACCCCAGAAGAAAACCTATGGAATACCATTCAGGACACAGGCATGGGCAAAGACTTCATGAGGAAAATGCCAAAGCAATTTCAACAAAAGTCAAAATTGACAAATGGGATCTAATTAAACCAGAGTTTCTACACAGCAAAAGAAGCTATCATCAGAGTGAATAGGCAGCCTACAGAATGGGAGAACATTTTTGCAATCTACCCATCTGTCAAAGTCTAATATCCAGAATTTATAAGAAACTTAAACAAATTTACAAGAAAAAAAAACAACACTGTTAAAAATAGGCAAAGGATATGAACAGACACTTCTCAAAAGAAGACATTTTTGTGGCCAAGAAACATGTGAAAAAAAACTCAACATCACTGATCATTTGAGAAATACAAATCAAAATCACAATGAGATACCATCTCATGCCAGTCAGAATGGCAATTATTAAAAAGTCAAGAAACAAGATGCTGGAAAGGCTGTGGAGAAATAATAACACTTTTACACTGTTGGTGGGAATGTAAATTCGTTCTACTCTTGTGGAAGCAGTACGGTGATCCTTGAGGATCTAAAACCAGAAATACCATTTGACCCAGAAATCCCATTACTGGGTATATATCTAAAGGAATATAAATCATATTACTCTAAAGACACATGCACATGTATGTTTATTGCAGCACTATTTCCAAAGCAAAGTCGTGGAACCAACTTAAATGCCCATCAATGATAGACTGGATAAAGAAAATATAGTACATATAGACCATGGAGTACTATGAAGCCATAAAAAGGAATGAGATCATGTCCTTTGCAGGGACATGGATGAAGCTGGAAGCCATTCTCCTCTGCAGAATAACAGAAAATTAAACACCACATGCTCTCACTGATAAGTGGGAGTTTAACAGTGAGAACACATGGACACAGGGAGGGGAACAACACACACCAAGGCCTGTTGGATGGTGGGAGGCAAAGGGAGGAAACTTAGAGGATGAGTCAGTGGGTACAGCAAACAGTCACGGCACCGGTATAACTACGTAACAAACCTGCACGTTCTGCACATGTACCCTGAAACTTAAATTAAAAAAAAACGAATAAAAAATAAAATAAAAGACAGAGAAAGAAAAAAGAAGTATGTCTAGGTGATAGGCACTTACTGCATTCGGACTTGTATGGTATCAGTGCCAGAAATATCAGCCCAAATGGAGGGTACCAGAACTCTGTAGAGGTGCTGAGAGGTTAGCACCTGGCAGAGCGAAGAAGAGCAAATGCTATCCTTCTTGTGCACAGCCATTCACAGGACTACCTGGAGTATGGCCAAATTGAAAAGTATGCTAATCAGCTGCTTGATTTGTGTCAGAGTGGAATCTAACAAGGAATAATTGCTTTGCTGTTTTTTTAAAAATATATATTGCCAAATATCAGCTAATCACAAGGTCTAACTTTCTCCTTTACTATAGATCAAGAACTCGTTTGATGATTAAATAAGTATAATAAAGAGTTTCAAAGAGTAACATAGCTTCATTATCAAACATTAATCTTTACTGACTATTTTACAGTTTAAAAACACCAGTGACATTCTAGTGCCATTAATCAAGAAAATTTGAAGGTAGAATCATTCATTTGTGCATTTATGTGCCAATGTCTGAAAGTCTGAAATTTCCATGATTACAAATAAGCATCAAAGTATGAGTTAAATAAACTAAAAGGTCACAAAAATCTCGATTGATAATGATAAAACTAAACTAACAGTGATTCATACTGGAAGGAAAAATAAAATGAAAGCCACGACCTACTTGAAGCAGGTTTTAGGATAATGTACTGTGTGAAGTTTGTTTGCACAAAGCAGAAACGCTGACTGCCTGTATCTGCACATGCACAAGCGCCACTTTGTAACACTGCCAAGTATCATATGTCAGCAGGATTTCCCAGCACAGTGAATTGAGTTGAGCTTTTGGTAAACTCTACAAACAAATTAACTTTGGTTTACACATTCAAAATTGTTAATTCTCAATAACTCACATATTATTTTACTAACTCTTACTCATGCTAAAAACAAGAAAATACAGAGTTTTAGTTTGTTCATCAGCAGAGAGGGCTTGCCTTCATATTTTAGAAGTTAATATTAGACATACAACTTACTTATTCAAATTCCAATATTCTGTGTCCATTAATAGAAAATAAATGCATGGCAATGATCCCTATTACATAAGGCCTCTCTGTGAAGCCATTGGTTGGTGCTAAACACACATGTCCAAATTAAGAATTCCATAAATTCTGCTGCTATGAATAAGATCTGTGTCCTCCTTTGTCTTCTGAGTGAAATCCCTCTGAAATACCAATTTGAATCACAAACTAAACTTGTTTTTGTTGAAAATGTAGTGGATAGCTGCATAGATTGGGTAAAGATAATTAACAAGGCATGAATTAAAATTATGATATGCATTTTTTAAAAATAGGCAAAAATTTACTATAATTAATTATTCAACTCTAATATTATTTGACCAGTTTAAATAATTTTAAATTTATATTTGAAACATTTTGAAAAGACACCAGATAGCTTACAAACTTATTGCAAAAGTTTGAGATAAAGAATGTAATTCACATTTCTATCTGCCATATCCAAACTATTTTTATTTTATCCAATCATTACATCTTTGTTCATAATACATATAATTTGCTGATAGTTTGCTTTTTTACTTATATCATTAAAAATCATTACTTAATCTATATATTCACTCAAAATAGACTATTCTGTGGTATCATTTAACTCCATGGTGTTAGCAGTTTATAACCACAGAGGTTCCCTTCTCACTCACTCTGCATGTCTACTGTGGGTTTTAGGGGCCTCTGCTTCAGAGCTGGTCAGCTGGAGATCCAGGCTGAGAAAGGATGAGGGGAGAGGAGACACACACAGCTTTGAAACTCTGCCTGCAAGTGAAGCACAGCACTGTCGCACACATTTGCTCGGCCGCGTAACTTCAAAGGGGCAAGGAAATGCAATTTCACCTCATGCCTGGAAAGGAAGAAGAATGTGTTTTTTTCAGTAGTACTAATAATTAGACTGCCTATAATTAGATATTGAATTTTCTTTTAATCTTTCTACAATCATTCATAATGCTACAATGAATATTTTCACATACAATTTTCCTGTTATTTCTTTAGAACAAATATCCAATAATATAATTACTGGGTTAAGAACATGAATATTACAATGACCAATACATATTACCTATTGCTTTTCAATGTTATAGTAAATAAATATCTTATTCTGCTAGGAGTCACTTGCTATTCATGTTGATATCTCCAATCCTACCAGTGTCTCAGGGTATAGGTAATCAAATCTTCACTAAGTAACTAAATAAGACATTATATTCTAGCTTTATGATTCAGCACATAAATTTTGTTTGTCTTGAAATATCATGTCTTTAAATTGAGAAACAAATTACTTTAAACGAGGAAAAATATTTTGGAGAGTCATAATTGTTTAGAAATCTATAATTTTTTTATATACACATCAATTTGCAATGCCAAACACAGACTCTTAATAGTACTAGTATGTGTATATACACATATCTGTACACATAGCTGAATATATATGTGTGTGTGTCTGTGTATAGCATTCCTACACACACACAAAGTGTATATTAATATATATACTGCTGCTATTTTAAGAGCAAGAAAATGATATCTAGATTTACTTAGAATTTGTTCAATAATGACATTTAGGGTTCTTATTTGCATTCAAACTAGTTAATTGAAAGATATATATTTTGAAAGGAAATTGGGTAGCTTATTAAATTATTAGAAAGACTGAAAAAAAAAAAACTTCAAAAACCAAGTAAAAACTCTTATAGCCAAAACTGGCCCACGTGAATATCTGCATGAGATCTTTGCTCACCCAGACACTTCGCTGTGGCCATTGCATCCCAGGCACCACTGTGGGCATGCATGCTGCTGTTGCTATGTGACATGGGTACATTTGCTACCTTCATTCCACTCTTGCCTTTGGAAACTGAAGGCGATGCCATCGCCTCTGCACTGGCTCTGGGGTTCATTTCCCCTAGATGAAAATGTCTAGGTGGGAATAGGTAATGAGCCAAGAATAGGTCAAATGCCCAAAACCTGACTGCAAGAGGTGGGTTATCGATATCTGGGATTTTCTGATTGTGTACACAGAGATCAGGCCTGTTCCACCAAGGTGAACACAGGAAAGTACTCCCCAGCCATAGTGGGAGTTCAGAAACAGGATGGCATAGATAAATAATTACAAAACTGAAAATAAATATTTACTATAATTAGTCAAATTAGATATTTTCTGTGATTCATTTTATTCCATTTCACATCCCCCCATTCAAGCCCTGTTGAGATGGCTCTGCTCATTTTATGCCCTTGAAGCTTTAGGGTTTAAGTTTTGCTGTTGTATTTTCTTCATATGAAAGGATTATTCATTTTAAATTTCCTTTGATGAGTCACATCCTACCACTTTTAGAGTCTCTAATGCACTTTCCTTTTTACATTTGATTATGTAATTCTCTAATGACATAACTCAAATCTCTATAGTATATCCAAAAATGCTTTGCCCATCTTTCAAGATATCTTCTTTCTACGTTTGGGGGAAGAGAAACATGTAGGTAGTATTGCTAATAAGGCAGGAACGCCAGCCTGGCCAATATGGTGAAACCCCATCTCTACTAAAAATACAAAAAGTTAGCCAGGCATGGTGGCAGGTGCCTGTAGTCCCAGCTACTTAGGACGCTGAAGCAGGAAAATTGCTTGAACCCAGGAGGCCAAGGATGCAGTGAGCCGTGATCACACCATTGCACTCCAGCCTGGGCAACAGAGGGACACTCCATCTCAATCAATCAATCAATCAATCAATCAATTGGCGGGAAAGAAGATACAAAAAAGTACAGGTATTTTTTCACAAAAGTTGTCTATTGGAAAAGACAAAAAAAAAATCTCAATACAGGCATATATTCGATATAAAATAAGTAGGTCCTGAATATACTGAGCACACAAAAAAGACTATGACCAGTCCTACTTAGGAAAAGTTGAGAGTTGATATTTGAGTTAATATTTCCTTTTGTTTGAATTCTATAATAAAGAACAAGGAATAAGCATTTATAGGAAACCATGCCACATTGATTTCCTCAAGAAAGCCACTCCAAGGTAGGAATTTTATTTTATTTTATTTTATTTTTTGAGACAGAGTTTTATTCTCTCGCCCACACTGGAGTGCAGTGGTGCAATCTCAGCTCACTGCAGTCTCCCCTTCTCGGGGTTAAAGTGATTTTCCTGCCTCAGCCACACGGGTAGCTGGGATTACGCATGCAACACCTCGCCCGGCTAATTTTTGTATTTTTAGTAGAAATGAGGTTTTGCCATGTTGCCCAGACTGGACTCGAACTCCTGAGCTCAAGAAATCCACTCACCTCAATCTCCCAAAGTGCTGGGATTACAGGCATGAGCCACTGCATCTAGCCTGAGTGTGAATTGTATTAAAAAAAATCATTTAATAAAGAAAAGTCAATGTCTTTGAGGTCATTGCTCCAGCATGAGTTATCAAATATTAAACAACTTTCTAATCTTTTGCAGAAATCCTTCTAAGGCCAAATAAACACATCTTCAATTTTTTTTGTCATTGTTGTTGTTTGTTTGTTTAATTTTTAACTTTTTGAGTAGATTATAGGTATAATTTTTTATCATTGAAATAATGAGAAGTTTATTTTCAGTACAAATATATCAATACCACAGAATTCATCAAAACAATTGTAAACAAGCTCAAGGTAGAGCTTTTAAAATCTCAAAGTTTGCAAACTAGAGGAGATCCTCCCTATGGCCTCAGGTCAGCCAATTTAAAATATTACCAACAATACTTAGATCTTTGTTCCCTTCCTTCTCCACTGTCTCCTCATACTTTCTCTCACTTATTACCATTAACAATTACTTTGTAATACAGTTTGAATTCAAAACCATTGCTCTAATACAACATTCTCCATTTTCAGAGAATAAAACTCTCATCGAGAGACATTACACGATTCAAATCTACTTGGTTGCAAAGTCAAGTGTAAGGCAAAGATGGTGAGAACCATGAAGGATTGCTCACACTGAGACCAGCTGAAAGTGCAGTGCAGTATTTAGTTAGGAATTTAATTAATTTGGTAAAATATTTGTTAGACAAACAAAATTGGACTCAAATGTGTGAATCCTTTAAGAAGGTATTTTCAGCTAAACTTTACAAATTATTCCAAAACTAGATTCCCTACAATGAAATGAATCACCTTACATGACGATGAATGCCTGTGTGTTTGGTGTATCACTGTGGATGATAAAACACGATAAAATTCCAACTGTGCCTTGAAAGCTATGATTACTTTGAAGTGAAGATTCTTTTCGAAGACTCTAAGGTGAGAAGATGACAGCTCCTGGCTCCAAGTCAGAGGACCCATCAGAGATCTCCATTTCTGCCACTGCTTAATTCTTTTATCTGGAGCAAATCACTTATTTTACTTCACTAAAATATTGTGATGATCACCTGAGGTTGTACATGGAAATCATAACAATATTTGTACTATACTTAACAATTTGAAATTTTTATTTAGTCACCCAACACTCTATTGAATATATTATTATTTAAAATAATTGTTATGGAACTTAAAAGATTTTGAGTGTTTGAGCCACTGCAAGAATATAACAACAAGAATGACTACAAAAGTTTCCCTCATTCTTTCTTTATAAATAAATTCTGAGGACATAAATTGAGAGATTCTCTTTCAATCTCTGGAAGTTTGTTAACTCCCATTCCCTGTTGCTAAATTAGTAGTCTAATCTGTGCAGCTAATGAATAACACAATAAGGTGATGAAAGGTTTATCATCATCTTTACCTCATTGCCCTTATTATTTGATTTCCTGTAGGTATTGTCTCCAGCACAAATCAACACCAATAAGCACAGCATTCCAGTTTTTTGAAAGGGTAGGAATTTATACCTGTGTGTAAATATGATCCTGTCCTTTAGAAATTAGAGGAAGGCGCCGGGCACAGTGGCTCAAGCCTGTAATCCCAGCACTTTGGGAGGCCGAGGCGGGTAGATCACGAGGTCAAGAGATCGAGACCATCCTGGTCAACATGGTCAAACCCCGTCTCTACTAAAAATGCAAAAAATTAGCCTGGCACAGTGGCACGTGCCTGTAATCCCAGCTACATGGGAGGCTGAGGCAGGAGAATTGCCTGAACCCAGGAGGCGGAGGTTGCGGTGAGCCGGGATCGTGCCATTACGCTCCAGCCTAGTAACAAGAGTGAAACTCCGTCTCAAAAAAAAAAAAAAAAAAAAAAGAAAGAAAGAAAGAAAGAAAGAAAGAAAGAAATTATAGGAAGGACAGAGCAAGATGAGAGGTTTTTTAACTTTTTTAAATCTAGAAACATGGAAAAGAGAAAGAGGAAGGAAGGAAGGAGGGAAGGAAGGGAAGGAAGGGAGGAAAAGGAAGGAAAGAGAGGGAGAAATGGAAGGAAGGGAGGGAGGGAGGCAGGCAGGCAGGGAAGAGAAAAGCAAAAAAAAAAAAAAGCATTTAACAAAAGAGAATTGAAGAGGCTTGTTTTTATGAATGTATGAAATTAAATGTTTATTTTTCTCCAGTGTGCAAAAATGAAGCCCAGCATGTAAGGATTAGTTCAAATTTATTTGAAGGCACCAGTCTTTTTATGAATGATCTTTCAAAGAGAAAACACGATATGTTCTGGCACCAGGAAGACATTGCCAGGAAGCCTATTGAGCAATTTTCTCTCAAAGTAGGAAATATTCACTAGATCCAAATACCAAGTAGGACATGCTCATGCACAGACTTGATTCTGACGCTGCTGAACATTCTCTCTATCTGGTCTTAATTCAAGTGTTTCTTACAGCATTGCCTTTCAGCTTTATCCCTGATAGATGTTAACTCAATATATTAACACAGTGCAAATTAAATCGGTTATTTTGTCCTTTAGGAACATATAGAAAAACTATTAACAGAAG